GTCCCAGTAAACAGAAATAGTTCTCTCAAAGAGGAGAGTAACAAAACAAAGGGAGACCACTCTTGATTATCCATAATGACGGTATGCTATTTTTATGGGTTAAAGTGATCAATATCACAGATAGAATGTATATAAATATAAAAGTGGATATTGAGATTGACACCCTGCATGAAACAGACTGTCGCTGCTAGGTGTTGACCTCAATGTCCACTTTTATACATATATATATATATATCTATATATATATATTGCGTATATTTTGGCAGCATGTTTTCATTAAGACATGCCTACATGATAAAATTAAAAAATTGTACGGTACATAAACTTAGTGTTTGTCACTTCGCATGTAAAAATTTAATATTCAGATGAACACAACAATTTTGTCTTAAAAAAATGATGAACACAATTTTTGTCTTACAAAAAAAACAAGGCCCTGATGACAATATGTGCTAATATCGAAATTACTTGGAATAAAATGAATATACATAAATATGGTAATTTTCTTTCTACCTTTAATAAAGATATTAAGAAACTTGTCCATAATTATGAGAGGACCCTATTAAAAATATGTAGACAAAAACTGTCTAAATTATTTAATGATATATATATTGATAATATTAGTGGTCAATATATATATATATATATATATATATGTATATATATATATATATATAAATTCCCAAAAGGATAGAATCCAGGTAGAACTCAATGTCCAGGACAGAGTAAGAATATTATAAAAAAGGCTCAATCACTAATATTCCATGGTTATAATTTATTACATTGGAATTGGAATCATGATCCAATTCATCAGACCTACAAATTCAAAAACATATTTTCTGATTTCTTTTTGAAAAGACAAAGATGAGGACAATAGTCCGAATAATGTAAATAGTGTACATAATACCTCATCTCAGAAATATAGACAGATAAAAGAGAGAGTTCTACAAACAAAATGTGCAAGAGAAGAAACTTAGCATAGAACTTATGGTTATATCAATTTCATTTAATTATTGTTCACTATTTTTCTCACCTTTTTGTTATGGATGCCATAACAGGCAAATTTCAGTCACATACCCTCTAGTCATTATCATCATCATCATCCTTCAGCCTCCATATTGTTGGTTGGAACTCTATTGACAATCCTTTTCCACACTGTTTAGTCCTATATTGTTGTCTCCAGATCCCCAATGTCCAATCCTGAGTCCCATGCTAGGGTGTCTGGAAAATCAATTTTCATGAGAAGACACTTCCAGAAGGATGCTATAGTAGTAAGGATGAGCTGATTTCTTTGTCCAGTCGGTGGCAGTGGCTGGCAAACTGTATTCATTTTTGTTTGAGCTTAAGAGAAATTGGTCTTAGTTCTCTGTAAATTATTATTATGCTATTATTAGGCATTCATCAATGTCCTTTGGGATGATGGCATAGTAAATATAAGTGTTGGTTATATATGTGTTAATACAATCTAATGGTCATGAGTTCAATCCCTGGTTGAGATAGTGAAACACTGGTTAATTGGCATCAAAGGTACAAAATAATGCAATCATCAACAGGTATCCTCAATCATCAACAGGTATCCTCAATCATCAACAGGTATCCTCAATCATCAACAGGTATCCTCAATCATCAACAGGTATCCTCAATCATCAACAGGTATCCTCAATCATCAACAGGTATCCTCAATCAACCAAAGATTGGATACCAAATGATGGCCAGGAGATCACTGGTAGCGGAGACATTATGTCTATAGCAACCAAGAACAATAATAAAAAGTAATTAAAGTATAATTACAAGACTATATATATATATATATATATATATATATATATATATATATATATATATATATATATATAATAGCTGGTCACTTGTATTGGCGGATACCCGTCTACTAGGGCGACTAGCCAATCCCTATTGCAGACGCTCCGTCAGGCCTTTCAGTAACCATCATTTCAATTTTAAATATTTTCTTGAATTTCATTGGTTGTTAAATGTAAAATAAGCTTCGAGAAATTTCCATAACAAAGCAATCAAAATTTGTGCAAAAGTAAGCTCAGCCGACGTAAAAAAAAATCTTTCTCAAATTCATCCCTAATTTAAATGTTTCAAGAAATCCTATTGGCTAAAAAATAAAAATACAACATTAACCCACACATTTCTCAGAAAAATTTGCAACAGCTACCAAGCCCCTTTGAGCCGTTTGGTTGTTAAAAAAAAACTGAATAGAAATAGCAAACAAATTTTCGTTGCATTTGAGACTCACACACACGAAAGATACATACGGGAATTATGTGTCGCCATACAAACTTTCTTTATGAGAGATTAGAAAAATTTACACAACAAACTTTTTTACTCAATATCTTTCATAGAAAATTATTTTGTCTAAGTTAGATTCAACCTTTTTAGTCAAAGGCAGACAACTTTTTAGACATTGAACATTTCCGAAACAGCAAAGATCTTTTTCTCTAAAATATACTTTTGCACACGTCATTACAAACAAAGAAATTGTGTATATAAAATTTAATTTGTTGTTTCAAACATGTATTTTATGTCGTGATTAAATATCGTTACTATTTGGCCATTTCTTATAATTTATGTTTGTGGATATTGCATATTCTATTTGCAGCACAATCTTAAATATTCACGCAACCTTCCTAGATCCACTACAGCCTCGCCTTTCTTGCGCCAAATCTGTACATCATTATGTTAAAAAAGCTCAATTTTTGTTTCATCACTTCATAGTACTCGTTCCCAAAAGCAATTTTCTTTGTTCAAGAACATTTTGGCAAAATTAAACCGAGCAACAATATGACATGGTTTGTGAAGAGGTGATCGACATGGTTGGTTTCCATACAACCAATTTTTATTTAAACAACGTTGTGCGAATATTTACGTTGATGCCCGTCATAGCCAAACTTTTGGTGGTGTCTTTGAAAACAACTCGTGGATCTATATTAACCTCGCGACACAGTTTTCGCACATTTCTCGGTGGCAATTTGGATTTTCTTCCACACCCAGGCAAATTCTCTGTCGTCCCAAGCTGTTTAAACTTCTTTACAACGAACTGTACTATAAATCTAGAAATAGCTAACTGGTTTGAAATAGTGCTATAACTATTTCCCGACTGGTGGAAGTTAATAATTCTCCGTCTCAAATCAACGCTAAGTTCCTTTGTCTTCTCCATCGTGTTGTTAACGTAACAATGGTGACACTTTGTGCATTAAGTGATGTTCTTTGCTGGAATTATCACAAATATTCTACTGAATAAATAGTCTAAAAGGCTCCACCGATAAAATAATTATGTATATTACTTATACTTACACGAATCAATCAATTTAAAAAACGATATTTTCTACTGTACAAATAATTTTGTCTTTTCGTATTTTGCACAATTCCCCTGTCAAATTTGTTTTATTTAACCTAGTGTTCTGAAAATTGAGTTTTATATTCCATTTGTGCTTATTAACATTAAAAAAAAACCTGGCATCATACGGGCATTAGATTCTGAGAAATGGATAAAATATTCAAAATTGATGAATGTACGAATAATTTCGTCGTTGACTGTACATCCTTCAAAAATCTAAATGGTCGACGTCAATGATCGTCTTCTGTCTCCTTGAATCCAGTTTTTTTATTGTACTTTCTCCTCAGTAATGTTTTCTCAATTTCTTTTACTCTTAGTAACCCTTGCATCTTAGTGGATTTATTACCTTACACAGACACAAACAAACATACATACATACATATATATATATATATATATATATATATAGAACACTCATATTTAATTTAAAGAAACTTATACAGTAGTTTACTAATCAATTTTCACTAAAAAGTACATTATGAACACTGCATGGTGTATTTTTGTTTCCAATAATACACAAGCAAATTAGGTATATTTTCTTTCATCCAATACAAGTCCCAAGAGCCCCTCAGAGTAGAGGGTTACTAAATTAGGTTCTTTTAAGAACATACGGCAATGAAGCAAGAAGTGCATATTATGAAAATATGTAAGATAGTTGATCCTCGATTTGAAGTGGTTAAAATCCAGCTTGATCCTTGATCAAACAAAAAAAAAATCCCATCAGATGAATCCTTCCAACAGCATGGAAAGCAGAAGGTAAAATAACGATAAAATCAAAATGTTGACTTTTCCTTTAAACAAAAAGTTTGAAAGGAAACTTTCATTAACTCTAAAAAGAGCAATAACAGTCTCTTTCTGAAAAAACTATTTTAACAGAATATTTATAAACACTATTTACATTATTCGGACTATTGTCCTCATCTTTGTCGCTATGTTTATCACAACGTTTCGGCCGTTGTACGCTCCAACCTTCTTCCGGAATGTTGAACTGAACCCTTTATTTCGCTCACTGGGGTAGACTGTTCTAGTTCCACGTGTCATGTCTAATAGATGTCAGATATCTCCTGTTAATTCCCCTCTCAAACTTCTCCGCCGCCTCAACCAGGAATTGAACTCATGACTCTTTGGGTCCTGTCACTGGATCTAACTAACGAAGGACACATGGCACAGTGAATAAAGGCGTTAGTTAGATCTAGTGACAGGACCCCAAAAATACCTGAGCGAAATAAAGTGTTCAGTTCGACATTCCGGAAGAAGGCCGGGGCGTACAACGGCCGAAACATTGTGATAAACATGGCGACAAAGATGAGGACAATAGTCCGAATAATGTAAATAGTGTACATAATACCTCATCTCAGAAATATAAAAAGACTTATTAACTTCGACCAACAGTAACACTAAGTGTTCCGTCACTGAATGGTGAATATTTCCTTATAAGGAAACGGTTAATATTACTATTGCCATTAAAGTATTAACTTTTGAAAATTAATTGTTTTTTCTTTTCTTTTTCTTTTCATAGTTCTCACCATATTTTTTTCTTCTTTTAACCTTTTAGGAATAAAGCGATTTCATGATACACAAGTGGACAGGAAGAAGACAAAATTTCATCTTAGGCACTACAACAATAGCAAGTGTGAATATGCTGGTACCAGGGTACGTACTGCTCCTGTCCATCATCCACAGCTGTCTTGGGGTGGACCTCACCTACAACATCCAGGAAGGGAAGAGCCCTGGTACCTTCATTGGTGATATCTCTGCCGACACACACTTGCTAGACAATATCCCCCTGCGTGACCACAACCTCATTACATTCACCCTCCTGCAACAGAATGCCACAAGCAGCTCACAGCTGTTCAGGGTCTCCAAGCAAAAAGGAAGATTGTATACCGCCCAGATACTCGACGCTGAGTCGATTTGCAAACGGAAGATGGAGTGTTTCAAAATGGTTGACGTAGCTGTCCGGAAAGCCAAGTCGTTTATGCGCATTGTCAACATCAAAGTAATTATCGAAGATGTCAACGACAATGAACCAGAATTTCCTGAAGAACAAATTGACATTCAGTTTTCCGAGGGGGTCAGCAAAGGCCTCAGAAAATCAATCCCCAACGCCATCGACAGGGACGTCGGGGCTTTAAATTCAAAAATCACTTATGAACTGAAAAGAAGCAATAACGAGCCTTTTTCATTATCAGTACGTAGCATCCCATTCGGCACCCCCGAACTAAGTATATCGGTCGAGGAAAAACTCGACAGAGAAATTAAAGACTCTTATATGATTCAAGTGATTGCCAAAGATGGCGGGATACCGCAAAAACAGAGCATCTTAGACGTTCACATTACAGTGACGGACCTTAACGATAACCCCCCAGTATTTACTTTAGATATATATAACGTATCTATTAAAAATAAGGACTATGGAGACATTTCAATTGTCGTTGTCTCAGCAACAGATTTAGATGCCGGGGAAAATGGTCATATTACGTATCATTTCAGTCCACAGACGTCGAAGGACGTCAGAACTCATTTTGAACTAGATGAAGTAACAGGGGATATATATTTGCGACATAAATTGCCTTCGAACCAAAATACAATGTACAAATTGTTCGTAACGGCAATAGATGGCGGTGATTCCCCTCTTAGTGGCCTAGCCGTTGTTTTGGTCAATGTGATTAACACGCAAAACAGGGCACCGAATATATTTGTAAACTTTGTCTCCGAATCGACGGGAAACACGGCCGCCATATCCGAAGATATCGAAGTTGGCAGTTTTATTGCTTATGTAAAAGTTATAGACTACGATATAGGGCAAAACGGGGAGGTCAACTGTGACCTGCAACATGAAAAATACAAACTAGAGAGTCTGGGCAAGAAAAAATACAAAATAATTGTCAAAAACCCGGTTGACCGAGAGACAGAGGACCACCACGATATTTCCATCGTGTGTCAAGATAAAGGATCCCCGCCTCTCCACAGTGAGAGCAGGTTCTCTATCAAAGTAATGGACGCCAATGATGTGCGTCCACAATTCTCTAAAGAGACGTTTAAATTTTCGATCCGTGAGAACCAGAGGTCAAATTATCCGGTGGGGTTCATCAACGCCACAGATCCTGACCTCGGGTTCGGGGGTAAACTGACTTATTCCTTAGTCACAACCAACACCCAGCAGTTCTTACCTTTTCAGATCTCAGAAAACGGACAGATCACGACGGTAATATCCCTGGACCACGAATTCCAAGATATTTATAAGTTTCGAGTTTTGGTCAAGGATAATGGAATTCCGTCTCTGAATAACTCGGTTAGTGTGATAGTTGAAGTAAGAGATGAAAATGATAATGCGCCGTACTTTACTTTCCCCAGCGTGAATCCGTATACGATGGACATCGTGTACTACCCGCATCGAACGAAAAATATTACGGTTTTGAAAGCTGCCGACAGTGACAGCCAAGAAAACGCATTTTTAAAATATGATCTCATAGCTGGCAATGACAAACAGCTATTTACAATTAACCAATACACCGGCTTGTTATCATTTACACGAGTTGTCAATCAGCAAGACGCGGGGCCGTACGACCTGGAGTTTATGGTCAAGGATAGCGGAACGCCGGTCCTTTCGGCGACAACGACAATGTTTCTGAAACTGACTGTAAGTAATAAGACGACCGAGATGTTAAATGCCGTTAATATATTGCCCGACGATAAAATTCAGCTCTATTTGGTTATTGTGATTGTGTTAGTGTCGGTGACAGTGTCAGTGCCGATTACAGCCGTAGTATCTATATCGATTATAAGATACAACGATCACGGAAGGACAGCCGACAGAGAAGATGTGAACCCCAACTACAAAAGTGCTGACGAACAGAGACACGTTGGGTGCTCTCGTCAGTCAACCCATTCCCAATCATCAGGGGGCTCTGTGACTGTGAAGACTGATTCGGAAAAGGTCTCCCGAACTTTGCCCGCCAGACCTGACCGAGGAGAACACTCAGTAGAAAAGATAAGCCATGGATGCAAAAGCTCTTCGCTGGGTGCGAAAGCCAAAACAACGTCTGACGATGTCTATGAGGTAAGTGAAAACGTTGGGGCTGGATGGTAGGAAATTTTGGACAGGGGCTACTTTTTTTCTTTTTTTTTTTTTGTTTATTATTTAATTATTTTTTATTTTAGTGGATTTTTTGCGTATGTGGTTAGCTTATATAAGCGCTTGACTTGTGGCACTAATATTTCGTTTTACGCCTGAATAGAGTTTTTTTTTCCTTTCTTTGATTCTTGAGAATATTAGAAATGTATCAGAAAAAAACCATCACATCCAAACAAGCAACCATCAACCGATCAATTATTGTCCTCATTTTTTTTTCATGAAATCTTTTAGAACTCTTCTCTTTAACTACATCAGCCATCATTTTTAGACCATTTTTAGAAAAAATTATATTTATTGAAGCATGCAAACTATTTCTTTATGGATCATAATATAACCAGGTGTCCAAGAAAAAGGCTATTATGGTACTATAATATAACTGGGTGTCCAATGGAAAGGCAATTATGGGGCTATATATAATATAACCAGGTGTCCAATAGAAAGGCTATTATGGGACTATAATATAACTGGGTGTCCAATGGAAAGGCAATTATGACACTATATATAATATAACCAGGTGTTCAAGAGAAAGGCTATTATGGGACTATAATATAACTGGGTGTCCCTGGAAAGGCTATTATGGGACTATATATAATTTAACCAGGTGTCCAAAAGAAAGGCTATTATGGGACTGTATATAATATAACCAGGTGTCCAAGAGAAACACTATTATGGGACTATAATATAACCAGGTGTCCAATAGAAAGGCTATTATGAGACTATATATAATATAACCAGGTGTCCAATAGAAAGGCTATTATGAGACTATATATAATATAACCAGGTGTCCAAGAGAAAGTATATTATGGGACTATAATATAACCAGGTGTCCAATAGAAAGGCTATTATGAGACTATATATAATATAACCAGGTGTCCAAGAGAAATGCTATTATGGGACTATAATATAATTGGGTGTCCAATGGAAAGGCTATTATGGGACTATATATAATTTAATCAGGTGTCCAAAAGAAAGGCTATTATGGGACTGTATATAATATAACCAGGTGTCCAAGAGAAACACTATTATGGGACTATAATATAACCAGGTGTCCAAAAGAAAGGCTATTATGGGACTATATTATAACCACGATGTTATGAAAAATGTTATCACATATACTATAAAAGTTAAGCAATATCGAACCAGGTAAACAATATTGAACCCTAGATGGGTGATTGCCTGAGAATATTAGGTGCTGTAAGTTTAAATATGTTGATGGTGTAATGGATAGCGGCTCAGAATTGGAAATCAAAGAGCCGAGTTCCAATTCCAATTGGGTTCGTTATATTCACATACACATAAATCTTTTTGGGAAAGGTATGAATCCACATCTTCTCACCCCTGCTATGGATTAATTAGTAGAACTAATATCAGTAAAGATTATTATCATCTTTCAAAAATGTAAAAATATTTCCTGGCTTTAAATAACTTGCAAAAGATTGATAAGCCATAAGCAAACAAATCAATTAATTTATTTATTATTTTTTCTGTTTATTTATAAACATTGAAAGAGCAAATGACGACCTTTCAAGTTACTGATTAAAGTATTTTACTACACAGCTAAAAGGAAAAACCTATACTGAAATGTGCAACATCACCAAGGTCAAAAAAGGTCAAACAAACATCCAGTGGCAATAAGTTAACACAGAAATGTAAGAGAACAGAAAATATATACTCATTAGTCAATTTATTAGGCATACTTTTCTAGTACTGGGTTGGACCCCCTTTTGTCTTTGAAATCACTTCAATCCTTCTTGGAATGACCTTGACTATGCACTCTTGATGGTGGAGTAATGGATAGCAGCTCAGATTGAGGAATCAGAGAGCCAAGTTCAAATTCTATTCGAATCCATTACATTCACTTACGTGCTAATACCTTTGGGAAAGGTATGAATCCTCTTCTTCTACCCTCAGCTATGGGTAAATAGCAGGACACACCGGTTTCTATAGCCTTGGATGGCAACTGGTCTACCACAGAAAGAAACGGCAACCTACTGCAGGAAAAAAATCTGTCTTGTCAGTCATGTATCGAAAGATACATGATCACCTATGTGTGTATCACGCATGGCACATAACTGACTTTTATTATGGCATCCCACAATTCTTCTAGAATAATTGGATGCACATTCAGGATTTGAATCTCTCTTTTCACCACATCCCAATTGAGAGCCACTGTATATGGCGGTTACTTTAAAACAGGAAACATTGCTTTATTTCTTCTAATTATGAATTTGACAATGTTCTGGAAGCACTCTTTTGAAATTTCAGTATTCATTTGTTATATCCTGTAATTCATCTAGTTTGGTTCACTGCACATCCAGGAGTTGAATCTGCCTTTACACCACATCCCATAGGTGCTCAGTGTGAATGAGATCCAATAACTTTGGAAGCCATTTTAGCACGGAAAACTCATTTCTGTGTTCTATGTCTGCCACTATTTTTGCTTTTCTGAATGGTCCATCCTTCTGCTAGAAGTAGCCATAATTTGAACATGACAGATAATGATAACAATTTTAAAAAGTATTAAATATAAAAGAGTTCATTAATAGAAAGGTTGGGGTCTGTAGATTAGTGAGACAGACAGCTTGATGCTTGAGTAGCTTTCACTGGGTATCAAAGGATATTAAGTCTCCTCAGTAATGCATCACTCTTCTCAGTATTCTTTATTTCTGTTATTGCATAATTTTCACCCTAAAAGTATATCATAACTCTTTCTGGGGATCAAGTAACAGTAATTCTTTTCAATACACCAGCACCCTCCACAGTATTGTTACTGATTTTATTAATCCTGTTTTCTGGATGGTTTCATTTCTCATTTGGATTTTCAATTCTTATTACCTTTTTTGGAAGGCTTTCTAAGCACTCTAGTAATGACAGGTTTAATGGATATCTTCAAATTTCATAATATGGGCTGAAATATATATATATATATATATATATATATATATATATATATATATATCAAAGAATTCTTAAAGAATTAAAGTTTAGAATTGTAATGATAGTAATGTCAGATAAAAATACAAAATTAAGTTTTACATCTGTAAAATAATTTCTTATTCACTTCTAGACTCTGCCAAATTAGCATTGACTAGCAGTAGAACCCGGGGATGTAACAGTAAGAGATAGATCAAGTATCGACCATCATAAAGACTGAAAAATAAAATTGACAAAGATTATTGTTTAAGGTTGACAGTTACGCATGTCTTAATTAGTTTTTTTGTTTTTTGGGGTTTTTTTTTACGAATTGGTCAAACCCAAACTCAAACAAAAACATTGTTTTCAATCGTTATGAGTCTACCGATGGAATAGAATTTTTCAATTTTATTATAAACAATTGTCTTGTAAATGGAATTTTTAAAGCATTCTGAATGTAAAAATAATGAAAAAAGTGTGCAAGACAATATGAAACACTACCTGCCAAAAAAAAAGTGAAGTTTTGTTGAAATTGGTTGAAAAATGTAGGAAATCCGATCCCATATATAAACGAACACACACACACACACACACACAAACAACCTGGGTTTTATAAGTATAACTCGATATGAATTGTCCACCTTTCATTCTTGAAACAGCGATGTCTCTTAATCGTGTTTTCAAATTGATTTCATGCAAAAACAATTGTGTTTTTCCAATTTTTGGCACTGTCAGAACTACCGCAAGGTAATTTTACGTAGTCCTGTGAAGTTTTGTTGAAATCAGTTGAAAAATGTAGGAAATCCGATCCAATATATAAACGAACAGACACACACACACACAACCTGGGTTTTATAATAAGTATGATTAAATCAAAGGTATGTGGCTATGGGTCTTTCTTTGAACACTCAATCTTCTAGCAAGAGTGTGAGGAATTTTTCTTTTCAGGTATTTATATAACTTCTTGTTATCTGGTTGTCAGCTGGGTTCACTTCCTTCTTTATGTTGATGCATCCGCCAACATCCTTTAAGGCCTGATTATACACTGGGTAGCTTTAAGGTCATAGTCTAGGTTAGCTATTTGTGATATCTAGCTTTTTTGATGTTTTAATGTGTTATAAAATGCAAAGCTTACTTTGGTGTCTCTTAGGTTGAACCCAGTACATACTGGAGTAAGCAGAGATCAGTTGTTCTTAGACTACATTTGGACATTAAATTAATTTCAAACCTCTGGTATATATCCTAGTATGGATCACATACTGCAATAATATTAGGTTGGTGCGAAAATAATGACATAATAATGTTGTTTTTTGAGTTTAAAAAATAAGTTAAAAAACGACATTATTACGTCATTATTTTTGCACCAACTTAATAAATAGGAATCAAAATGTGCAATATCTGTCAAATCAAGAAGAGAGTAAACTTCCCAGCCATACTGTAACAATTTTTCTTTCATGTTATCTTCATGGAATATCACGCTCTTTCTGTTAACTAATTCTGGAAACCTTTATCCATTTGTTGCATTTAGTTGATCTAATTGGGAACACTACTTATTCAAACCAATCATTTGTTTCTCTGAAAGGTGCTCATAGTAGAGAACCCACTTTCAGTCCCGCCACATTCAAAACACCAGCATCTCTGCCTGAAGACTGGCCTGTAGTACGTTAACTAGCTTCCTTTTTTTGGTAGGGTGCTTAATAATTTCCTGTAGTCGGATCACAGAGGCTGGGAGACTTTCATAGTCATCTTGGCATTTTTATCTTCTTGACTCTGACCAAATTATATTAGTGATAAAATGTTCTTTTAAATCTTCCCTTTTTTCTGGAGAAAGGCTTGAGTTTATCATCTAAAAATCTTTCACAGTAGCTGGGTGTTGTGCACAACTATCTCAGTATCTAGATTTCCATATATTAATTCTATAGGTTTTGAACTCAGAATTATCCTTCTCCTAGTCTGGCTGCCAATCAAAGCTAGTGAGCCCAATTTGCCTTGCTATTAACCCCTAGCTGGAGGAAGGAGAGATGGATTCTTATTTTTCCAAG